TAAATTGAAGGTCAAATGGAGGAAAGACCCCTAAAGTAGGGATGGGGGACAAGGCATTTCGGAGGAATCGAGTACACCTGAGAAGGTAACGGGAGGAACACAAGACGGTATCGTGAGGAGCATCAGCACCAGCAGCAGGAACCGGTTGACATCGCGGTCCAAGACCGCATGAACACCCTCAGGGGGTAGACAATATGGAACATAAAAACTGAACTACCAGAAAAACTTAGTAAGCAAACGTGATGAGAGCTGGCAAGTGATGCGAGTGAAACCGACGCACGACCAATGGACTAGAGAGTCAAAGAGTGCCGCAAGCACAAGTTGTTCAAGCTTACTAGAGCCGGATGAACACTGAAGAATTGAACTGCTATGTTATGAGTCGAACACGGCTTTTGCTCCCGGGCAAAGGTAAGCAGTTGTTCGCGGGCGACGCTGACCCTGTGTAGACGGCGCATGATCCGATGGCAGTTGGTCGAATGTACAAGCGGAACAGGCGGAGCCGACTGGTGCAAATGTCAATACTGCCGCCGGCGCAAAGTGACCGTTTTCGAACAGACCGGATGAAAAGCCCAGAAGTGGATTGGGCTATTATAAACAAAACTGCGCTTTGTTCGAATCAAGATAGCAGCCAAGCACACAGCTAAAAACGAACAATGAGCGTGAACCAATGAACTCAGATAGGTGACTAGCAAGAATCATTCATTGAAAGGGCAATTCCGTAAAACAGTGATTCAGATTTACATACACTAAGAAATGAAACTTTGTTCCCTATTAGCAGATTCTCAAATCACCGTTTAGTCTTCGTTTTGGTTCACAGAGGGCTATCTCCTCCACAATGAGGCTGCACCATACCGTGGTGCGATGGTTTGCGTGCCTTAGTGATCCACTGAACTATGATGGGTGGTGCTTTTTTGCACCTTCAGAGCCACTCATACCAGATTGATCAATGGTTAGAGGCCAGATGAGCTAGGTCACTTGGCTCTCCAGGTTAGGGGTTGGAATGAAGGTGACTCTTTATTCCTTAAAACAGAAGCCTTTTAGTCCACTGCCAAACCCGTTGCTTGCGGTCAGGAATTTTGAACCAAAGGACTTGATTGAGTACCCTACTCGTTCTCCTGTCTAGGCCTGGGCGACCTGATCGTATCATGTCGATGTAATACTATGAACCATTCGTCAAGAAATTTCCTGATGCTCTGGCCACCCCAGAGGATAATCAACGGTGCCCTATCTGCTGTATCGAGCAGGGTGGATAAGGGTTTGGATGCTACCGCTCAAGCTGACACAACTTCTTATTCCCCCGTTTACACTTTTAAACCTTTATCTGCCCGTTCCACCTTAACTTTTATCCTCCCGTTTTCAACCACCCTATTCCTGGCCCTCCCTCACCATGGCTTGATGGGCCTTTATTTTCTAGTTTCCACTCAAGTGCAAACGCGCAGCGTGACCCTTGCCCTGTCGACGAACCTATGTCTACCCAAGCTGTCAAGCCCAATTCATCGGCTTCCATTTGAAGCCATCGATCCTCCTTCAGATTGGCATAACTTCAGGTACGCACATTGCTACAGGTCGGTCAACAGCCAGCACTTGCCCGAACACTGGATATCTGCTGCCTATCGGAAAGCCGCCTAAAGACCTGAGCACTGTTCTCACACTATGATCCCTTTCAGATAACACTAGCAGTGCGCCTATCCGGAGACGATGCAGCTTCGAGCACCGGCCAAGCAGCTGTTGGTGTTGCACTGAGTCCCCTGGCTGAAGCTGCTCTGGTTGAATGGACCGCAACCAGTAGTCGGAAGTGTGCGATTCTACTAGCTGGCTCGTTCAAAGCTTCGAAGTCGCGCAGGGTTAATCGGTGTCTGTTTATCATCGCTGCCTACACACCCACAAACAGTAGCGACGATTTCGTGAACGACAACTTCTATCGTCAGTGAACAAGATCATTCATCACAGAAGTAAGGACACTAGCATTTGCTGGGGGTCAAAACACTCAAGTTGGGAAATTTTCCACAGATGAGCTGCATCTGGACGGCCAACATAGTGTAGGTTCTCGTAACGATAACGGTGAGCAGTTACTTCATTTGTGTGAAGCTACGCGCTTATTTATTGCGAGCACTAACTTCAGACACAGTACCCGTCAGAAGGTGATATGGCGCCCACCATCCTCGAACCAGCCATGGACGCAAATCGATCACATTGCGATCAGTTATCGCCGGAGCGGCTGTGTCCAGAACTGTCGCTCGAGTTGGAGCACATGTGTGCACAGTGATCATGCAATTGTATGTGCTGTTCTGCGGGTGCGTTTTGGCGGTCGCCGTCGACGACTCTGCGAGCGCATAGACACCAAGCAATTGACGAAGCTAACTGTTCGGAATGCGCATCGAAGTTCGTTGACATTCGGATTGAGCAAGCGCTCACGGAATACAGTTGTAGGTCACTGGTCGCATGTTCACCAGACCCTATTAAAAGCACCTAACTTATCATGTGGTAAATCCACTAGCAAAAACAGACATTGGAACTCTTCGCAGCCCCTGGAACTTATCGATGCTCGCCGGCAAATTCCGGCTGGAAGAAAAATCGTGGAGACTCGCAAAGACATCGGGGCAAAAGTCCGTGCTAGCCTGAAGAGAGATCGCGAATCCTAGTGGTCACATCATGCTTCAGAGATGGAAATGGCCGCTGCCCACGGCAATCATCGGAAGTTCTTCCGTCTGATCCGAGAAACGGGCAGCAGAATACCTATTGTTAGTGAAACTATTTGTGAACGTGGTGAACAGCCTCTCAAAAACTTGTCAAAACGTTTTGAGAGTTGGGCTGAGTATTTTGAGAAGAAATTTTATCGGCCGGAATTGTTATCTTCCTCACTGGCCACTGATCGGGCTGAGCCGTGGGCTGTCCCATTGGATCCGCCCTCTCGTTCAAAGTCAAAGGTGAATTCGGACTGTTGGTTAAACCAAGCTGCGGGAACAGGTTATCTTCCTACAGCCCTCTACTAATTCGGGGACCTGCTCTTGTTGATGATTTACAGGAATTACTAGTGAAACTGTGGGAGCATGAAACTGTCCCAATCAACTGGAGCCGCTACGTTATTGTACAGATCTTCGAAGGAAGCTCGCGTTCGGAAGGCAGCAACCATAGAGGAATCAGTCTGATCTCCATCGCCCCCAAATTGATAACCTCTGTAATCCTGCGGAGACTGACTGACGACCGTGAAAGTCAGATACGTGGGGAACAAATCGATTTTCCTCGTGTAGGGGATGCATCGACCACTTATTCACATTACGTCAGTTGTTGGAGCACCGTCACATATATTGATGGCCCACCACTCTCATGTTCAACGACATTAAATGTGCCAACGATTCAGTGGATCGAAGTGCCCTTTAGGACTATCTGCTAAGGAATGGTGTGGCCGAGGAGTACGTAAAGATTATACGACCGCCTTACGTGCGTAGCTCGGGCTCAGTGAGGACTTACGGTTAGATATCACCGCCCTTCAATATCTCCAACGGTGTAAGACAAGGATGCCCGCTGTCACCTTTCCTCTTCAACTTCGCAGTTGACGAAGTAATGAAAATCACGTTCACAAGACACGAGTTAGGTGTGGAGCTGCTCCCGGGTGAACGAGTTCTTGACTTAGAGTATGCTGACAATAGTGCCATCTGTGACAGCTGACAAACGTGCCAAGCATCACTGGACCGATCAGCACTGGCTGTCCGTCACTTCAGGCTTTGCTTGGTGCCCTCGAAGTGCAAAGCGTTCCTCCAAGATTGGTATGGACCGCCTCCTGTGCCGACTCTTGGTGAGGATCAGCTGGAAGTACTTCGAAAGTTCAACTACTTAGATAGTTGTATCAGCACCGTTGGAATTAAAGACGAGGTCACAAACCGTATGACGAAAGCACAAAGCGCTTTTGCTAACGTTCGCCATCTGTGGCGCTGGCGCGACATTACTCTCCCTCTGAAGGGTCGAGTATATAATGCAGCCATACCTTCGACTCTGCTGTACGGTTGTGAAACCTGGCAAATGAGATCAGCGGACATACAGAGGTCCGAGCACCGGTGCCTTAGCAGTTTGCATCATATCTGGTGGGAACACCGTGTAAGCAATGAACGTGTTCGACGCCTTGTTTATGGTGCATGAAGAAGAAGCGAACCGCTCAGAACCGTCATTTCACGCAGACACAGATGCTTAGGTCACGTGTTGCGCATGCCAGCCCAGTGACTCCCACGACGTGCATTGTTTGCGCGCCGGGGGACTGAATGGAAGAAGAGGAGAGGTCGCCAAGCGGTGACTTGGTCAGAACGAATGAAAGCCCTTACTTCGACGTTGGTCTCGGTTACAGCCTCTCTGCTCCCTGCTTGGGGTCCGAAAGATGATGAACGTTTGGCTAGCTACACTGGTTGACATGGCTAGGAGTGGGCCTCAATGGCGTTTGTGCTTTTTTTGTCCATCTCCCTCTCTCTTAGCCTCCGCTTCCAATCACGACCTCAATTAATAGGCATAATAGGACCTTTTTCGGCACAATAGCCGGTTGTTAGGCCTCCAGGAACGAGGTCTATCCGTTACTGGTAACTCAACCGGCGTGCCTCTCTTTCATATTTTTTAATGTATTGCGGTACGATAGTGTGTATAATGACTTATCTCCTCAGCAACCATACAACGACGGAGCAAGCGCCATCAGCTAAGGGGTTTTGTTGTCAGTAATTTCGCTACCCCCACTACTTGATACACAAGCAGCCCGGTTTGATTTTTCAGGTTTTCATCTTCAACACATCTGCGTACCTATTTGGGCACAAGAACACCTGCATGTGGTCGTTTACATTACATACCACTGCGTGTAGCTGTGGCGTTGATTGTTGTAATGCACTGGCCTCAGTTTGCATGCCCGAGTTGGCAAATCACTTCAATATGCAAAACGCTTGCTTGTTGTCCGTGACAGTTCGATTTTCCATAGCTGAGGGGAGGAAACGGGGTCTTTACTATCGACTGTAGTTTGGACGTAAGCTGGCTTGAGTCGGTCGATGCTCACGGATTCTTTTGATCCATTCTTATTCAATACGAAATACTTGGGTTTCCGTGACAAGACCTGGTACGGGCCGTCGTAGGGCGGAGTTAAAGGTCTTCGGACGGCGTCGACGCGGATGAAAACAAACGGACACTTGTGCAAATCGGGGTGGACTTGCTGTTTACGTAGGTTAGGCCGCGTAGAAGTTGGTCGAATGGATCGAAAATGCTGTTTGAGGCGTTCAGCGTACGAGAAGGGGTCTAGTTCGCCGGTGGTGCGAGAGTCCAGTACCATCTCCCCAGGTAGTCTGAGAGTCGTCCCGAACACGAGTTCTGCAGGGCAGCACCCAATGTCCTCTTTGATTGTATTGCGTATACCAAGGAGGATCGCAGGTAGACGCTCAGACCAGCGTGAGTCGGACGAAGTAGCCATGATGGCAGCTTTTAATTGTCGATGAAAGCGCTCGACGAGGCCATTGGCAGCGGGGTGGTACGCGGTTGTTCTCATGTGAGTACAGCCTAATAAACGACTCAGATCACGGAACAGTGTGGAACTGAACTGAGCCCCTCTGTCGGTAGTGATGGTGGATGGAACACCAAACAGCGAAATCCAAGATTCGACAAAAGCACGGGATACAGATTCGGTAGAGGTATCACGTAAGGGAACAGCTTGTGGCCAACGGGTAAAACGGTCAACACATGTTAGAAGATGAGTGAAACCGTTGGAAGGAGGTAAAGGGCCAACAATATCTAGGTGCACGTGTCTAAAACGAGCGTCAGGGAGTGAAAATGTACCTGGGGTGGTGACTGTGTGACGATGCACTTTACTAGTCTGGCAACTAAGGCAATGTTTCGCCCACTGTCTAATGTCTGAACGCATATTGGGCCAGAGGAAGCGGTCGGTAATGAGTTTTACGGTGGAGCGGATACTTGGGTGTGAAAAACCGTGAAAATGATCAAAAATGGTTCGGCGGAATGATTATGGGACAAACGGCCTAGGCTTACCGGTTGAAAGATCACAGTAAACTCTTATGTCAGAGTTAAGTACAGGCAGTTGGGTGACTTTCAATGAGGAGTTTGAACGAAGTTGAACGAGCTCAGGATCATCGTTTTGGGCGGCCGCTATTCTCTCCAAGTCGATGGGTGTCGATGACAGTTGATTCACATGAGCGCGGGACAATGCATCGGCAACAACGTTGTTAGGACCGTCGATATAACGAACATCAACACAAAACTGTGAAAGATAGTCCAGATGACGCGTTTCTCGGGGTGAGTAACGGTCTGAGGAAGAACGGAAGGCATACACCAGTGGCTTGTGATCTGTCAAGAGAATGAAACGACGTCCTTCTAAAAGGTGACGGAAATGTTTCACAGCCAAGTACATGGCGAGCAGTTCACGACCAAAGGTGCTGTACCTGACCTGAGCAGGTTGAAGCTTCCGTGAGAAAAAAGACAGTGGTTGAAATTCGTTATCAACTAACTGTTGCAAAACTGCACCGACAGCAGAACTTGAAGCATCCGTCTTAAGGACAAGTGTAGCCGTTACTTCGATGTTGGTCTCGGTTACAACCTCTCTGCTCCCTGCTTGGGGTCCGAAAGATGATGAACGTTTGGCTAGCTACACTGGTTGACATGGCTAGGAGCGGACCTCAATGGCGTTTGTGTTGTTTGTTTGTCCATCTCCCTCTCTCTTAGCCTCCGCTTCCAATCACGACCTCAATTAATAGGCATAATAGGATCTTTTTCGGCACAATAGCCGGTTGTTAGACCTCCGGGACGAGGTCCATTCGTTACTGGTAACTCAACCGGCGTGCCTCTCTTTCATATTTTTTAATGTATTGCGGTACGATAGCAGTGGTGTCTTCCACTGTTAGGTAGTGTGTATAATGACTTATCTCCTCAGCAACCATACAACGACGGAGCAAGCGCTATCAGCTAAGAGGTTTTGTTGTCAGTAATTTCGCTACCCCCACTACTTGATACACAAGCAGCCCGGTTTGATTTTTCAGGTTTTCATCTTCAACACATCTGCGGACCTATTTGGGCACAAGAACACCTGCATGTGGTCGTTTACATTACATACCACTGCGTGTAGCTGGGGCATTGATTGTTGTAATGCACTGGCCTCAGTTTGCATGCCCGAGTTGGCAAATCACTTCAATATGTAAAACGCTCGCTTGCTGTCCGTGACAGTTCGCTTTTCCACAGCTGAGGGGAGGAAAAGGGGTCTTTACTATCGACTGTAGTTTGGACGTAAGCTGGCTTGAGTCGGTCGATGCTCACGGATTCTTTTGATCCATTCTTATTCAATAAGAAATACTTGGGTTTCCGTGACAAGACCTGGTACGGGCCGTCGTAGGGCGGAGTTAAAGGTCTTCGGACGGCGTCGACGCGGATGAAAACAAACGGACACTTGTGCAAATCGGGGTGGACTTGCTGTTTACGTAGGTTAGGCCGCGTAGAAGTTGGTCGAATGGATCGAAAATGCTGTTTGAGGCGTTCAGCGTACGAGAAGGGGTCTAGTTCGCCGGTGGTACGAGAGTCCAGTACCATCTCCCCAGGTAGTCTGAGAGTCGTCCCGAACACGAGTTCTGCCGGGCAACACCCAATGTCCTCTTTGATTGTATTGCGTATACCAAGGAGGATCGCAGGTAGACGCTCAGACCAGCGTGAGTCGGACGAAGTAGCCATGATGGCAGCTTTTAATTGTCGATGAAAGCGCTCGACGAGGCCATTGGCAGCGGGGTGGTACGCGGTTGTTCTCATGTGAGTACAGCCTAATAAACGACTCAGATCGCGGAACAGTGTGGAACTGAACTGAGCCCTTCTGTCGGTAGCGACGGTGGATGGAACACCAAACAGCGAATCCAAGATTCGACAAACGCACGGGATACAGATTCCGTAGAGGTATCACGTAAGGGAACAGCTTGTGGCCAACGGGTAAAACGGTCAACACATGTTAGATGTTGAGTGAAACCGTTGGAAGGAGGTAAAGGGCCAACAATATCTATGTGCACGTGTCTAAAACGAGCGTCAGGGAGTGAAAATGTACCTGGGGTGGTGACTGTGTGACGATGCACTTTACTAGTCTGGCAACTAAGGCAATGTTTCGCCCACTGTCTAATGTCTGAACGCATATTGGGCCAGAGGAAGCGGTCGGTAATGAGTTTTACGGTGGAGCGGATACTTGGGTGTGAAAAACCGTGAAAATGATCAAAAATGGTTCGGCGAAATGATTGTGGGACAAACGGCCTAGGCTTACCGGTTGAAAGATCACAGTAAACTCTTATGTCAGAGTTAAGTACAGGCAGTTGGGTGACTTTCAATGAGGAGTTTGAACGAAGTTGAACGAGCTCAGGATCATCGTTTTGGGCGGCCGCCATTCTCTCCAAGTCGATGGGTGTCGATGACAGTTGATTCACATGAGCGCGGGACAATGCATCGGCAACAACGTTGTTAGGACCGTCGATATAACGAACATCAACACAAAACTGTGAAAGATAGTCCAGATGACGCGTTTCTCGGGGTGAGTAACGGTCTGAGGAAGAACGGAAGGCATACACCAGTGGCTTGTGATCTGTCAAGAGAATGAAACGACGTCCTTCTAAAAGGTGACGGAAATGTTTCACAGCCAAGTACATGGCGAGCAGTTCACGACCAAAGGTGCTGTACCTGACCTGAGCAGGTTGAAGCTTCCGTGAGAAAAAAGACAGTGGTTGAAATTCGTTATCAACTAACTGTTGCAAAACTGCACCGACAGCAGAACTTGAAGCATCCGTCTTAAGGACAAGTGTAGCCGTTACTTCGACGTTGGTCTCGGTTACAACCTCTCTGCTCCCTGCTTGGGGTCCGAAAGATGATGAACGTTTGGCTAGCTACACTGGTTGACATGGCTAGGAGCGGACCTCAATGGCGTTTGTGTTGTTTGTTTGTCCATCTCCCTCTCTCTTAGCCTCCGCTTCCAATCACGACCTCAATTAATAGGCATAATAGGATCTTTTTCGGCACAATAGCCGGTTGTTAGACCTCCGGGACGAGGTCCATTCGTTACTGGTAACTCAACCGGCGTGCCTCTCTTTCATATTTTTTAATGTATTGCGGTACGATAGCAGTGGTGTCTTCCACTGTTAGGTAGTGTGTATAATGACTTATCTCCTCAGCAACCATACAACGACGGAGCAAGCGCTATCAGCTAAGAGGTTTTGTTGTCAGTAATTTCGCTACCCCCACTACTTGATACACAAGCAGCCCGGTTTGATTTTTCAGGTTTTCATCTTCAACACATCTGCGGACCTATTTGGGCACAAGAACACCTGCATGTGGTCGTTTACATTACATACCACTGCGTGTAGCTGGGGCATTGATTGTTGTAATGCACTGGCCTCAGTTTGCATGCCCGAGTTGGCAAATCACTTCAATATGTAAAACGCTCGCTTGCTGTCCGTGACAGTTCGCTTTTCCACAGCTGAGGGGAGGAAACGGGGTCTTTACTATCGACTGTAGTTTGGACGTAAGCTGGCTTGAGTCGGTCGATGCTCACGGATTCTTTTGATCCATTCTTATTCAATAAGAAATACTTGGGTTTCCGTGACAAGACCTGGTACGGGCCGTCGTAGGGCGGAGTTAAAGGTCTTCGGACGGCGTCGACGCGGATGAAAACAAACGGACACTTTTGCAAATCGGGGTGGACTTGCTGTTTACGTAGGTTAGGCCGCGTAGAAGTTGGTCGAATGGATCGAAAATGCTGTTTGAGGCGTTCAGCGTACGAAAAGGGGTCTAGTTCGCCGGTGGTGCGAGAGTCCAGTACCATCTCCCCAGGTAGTCTGAGAGTCGTCCCGAACACGAGTTCTGCAGGGCAGCACCCAATGTCCTCTTTGATTGTATTGCGTATACCAAGGAGGATCGCAGGTAGACGCTCAGACCAGCGTGAGTCGGACGAAGTAGCCATGATGGCAGCTTTTAATTGTCGATGAAAGCGCTCGACGAGGCCATTGGCAGCGGGGTGGTACGCGGTTGTTCTCATGTGAGTACAGCCTAATAAACGACTCAGATCACGGAACAGTGTGGAACTGAACTGAGCCCCTCTGTCGGTAGTGATGGTGGATGGAACACCAAACAGCGAAATCCAAGATTCGACAAAAGCACGGGATACAGATTCGGTAGAGGTATCACGTAAGGGAACAGCTTGTGGCCAACGGGTAAAACGGTCAACACATGTTAGATGATGAGTGAAACCGTTGGAAGGAGGTAAAGGGCCAACAATATCTATGTGCACGTGTCTAAAACGAGCGTCAGGGAGTGAAAATGTACCTGGGGTGGTGACTGTGTGACGATGCACTTTACTAGTCTGGCAACTAAGGCAATGTTTCGCCCACTGTCTAATGTCTGAACGCATATTGGGCCAGAGGAAGCGGTCGGTAATGAGTTTTACGGTGGAGCGGATACTTGGGTGTGAAAAACCGTGAAAATGATCAAAAATGGTTCGGCGGAATGATTATGGGACAAACGGCCTAGGCTTACCGGTTGAAAGATCACAGTAAACTCTTATGTCAGAGTTAAGTACAGGCAGTTGGGTGACTTTCAATGAGGAGTTTGAACGAAGTTGAACGAGCTCAGGATCATCGTTTTGGGCGGCCGCCATTCTCTCCAAGTCGATGGGTGTCGATGACAGTTGATTCACATGAGCGCGGGACAATGCATCGGCAACAACGTTGTTAGGACCGTCGATATAACGAACATCAACACAAAACTGTGAAAGATAGTCCAGATGACGCGTTTCTCGGGGTGAGTAACGGTCTGAGGAAGAACGGAAGGCATACACCAGTGGCTTGTGATCTGTCAAGAGAATGAAACGACGTCCTTCTAAAAGGTGACGGAAATGTTTCACAGCCAAGTACATGGCGAGCAGTTCGCGACCAAAGGTGCTGTACCTGACCTGAGCAGGTTGAAGCTTCCGTGAGAAAAAAGACAGTGGTTGAAATTCGTTATCAACTAACTGTTGCAAAACTGCACCGACAGCAGAACTTGAAGCATCCGTCTTAAGGACAAGTGTAGCCGTTACTTCGACGTTGGTCTCGGTTACAGCCTCTCTGCTCCCTGCTTGGGGTCCGAAAGATGATGAACGTTTGGCTAGCTACACTGGTTGACATGGCTAGGAGCGGACCTCAATGGCGTTTGTGTTGTTTGTTTGTCCATCTCCCTCTCTCTTAGCCTCCGCTTCCAATCACGACCTCAATTAATAGGCATAATAGGACCTTTTTCGGCACAATAGCCGGTTGTTAGACCTCCGGAACGAGGTCCA